TGTGTTTTGCTGAATCATGCCCTACTGAGTCATCGTTTTCCTTTTACCGTAAGAGGAAAGCTGTTGTACCAGCCCAATCAGACTTTCCGTTCCCAAATTCTGTGTGGTAGCAATTGGCTGATATTGTGAAAAACCACGCCCATTGGGCTGACTAGCCCACGAAACTAGCTAAAGTTCACGTGTTTCTGTTACGCAGACAAAAGTACCTTAGCAACCTGTTATCTATCTGTTCACCCATCCATCTTTATCTGAATGAGTTCGATCCTCAAACTTGCAGTGTTGAGAATCTCACCTATTCTTCAGTCGTATGATCTCCGCTGCTTAACCATCCACCTATCCAAAAAACATCAGCCTTGACAGGCGTCGGCATCCAATTCAATTCTTTGCCATGAACTGCGTATTGAAAAATCGATCACGTAGGCAAGTGCAACGTCCATACATCCGGTTGGTACTGATTTGTCATGCATCTTACATGGAAGCATCGTCCGTGTGCCATAGTTAATATCCGTTGTCAGGTGTGCCACATCCGCGTGGACAAAATTGTTGATCCAATCAAGCCTCTCTCTAAGCGTCATTGGTTACGTGGATAAAAACACGAATGCAAGCATATACGCATTATTGAGTGCGTTTCATAATGGAAATGTAATAACAACGTGGTTCAATTAAAATCACTGTGCACGTCGGACTCAGACCAGTGTAAACAAAAGTGGCCAACTCGAAATTTCTGATTTACATTTTTGCACGTGCTCTGATTCCACCTACCTGATTGATGCAGTTTCACACTCCATATCGAAGTTTCCGGTTCTCTTTGCTATGAGCGATGGGTCCTCCTGTTTGTGCAAGGCTTACTCTTTTGATTGTTTATATAGCCTATTGTTTTTTTCATTACACGCCGGTGTTTGATGGACAGCGGACGAGGTGAAACCCCATAATCACTAAGACCTGCTGTTCAGTGATGGTAACCGACAACCTAAGCCCCGGGACTTGGAGTGGTGAACCACATCGATCCTCACTAGGTCAGGCGTGGTATTGAGCCGGGTGACAGCAAATGCTGCCTACCACCAAAATAGGGTAGCGATAGCGGGGCTCGAACCACCGGGTTCAAGGCACGCCGGTGATAGCGACTGAATCACTGTGCCACTACAACCACCACCCATGTTGCGTGTGATTGAATTTATTCGGGTGAATGACAGCGGTTTTTTGATTGATTTAAAGGTTGGAATGTTGGACCCGCTTCCCGCATTTCATCAAAACCGAAAGAAGACAATGAAAATCAAATCAAACTGGTACCCACTTAGTACATTGGGTTGGTAAATCCTAGGTATCGTACGGATATGCACAAATATACAATCACTGTCACCATTCTGTAACCGATAGGTCAAAGTTTTGACGATTAGTGAAGCGGATTGCACAATCCAGCTCGAAGTTCTTGTTGACGCCATCAATCCTTTTGGCTTAGAAAGTTGATCTTTGTATTTTTGATAGTCTCTGTCTGTTTTTACCTGCTCTTCCACTAGAATTTACTCATCCAATATGCTCTGTTTGTATGTGCCAGTTTATTCTACTCCTGAAGTTGTGGAGGTTAAATGAGATGGTAACACCACAAGCCACTACCACCACCCAATTGATCTGCTTCTTCGTGTCTCGCGGCAGCCTTTTGATTGTCTGCCTGCTTGTCGATAAACGTGAAGTTTATTATTATCACTATTTCGGAATAGAAAGATCCTATCCGCTACATTGTTTATCATACATTCTCTCTTGGCCTGCTTCACACTGTACAACCTCAGATTAGCCAGCCGCAAGTAGTTTAGCACTGTAACTGCTGCAGTCTTTTCCGATATCGTTCCCAGTTTAGGCATGCAAATAACTTTTTCAACGTCGACCGAATCTGTCTGCCCAAAAGAAACTATGCGTAGTACCACTCCTACGAACAGAAGATTGTCCTACTTAATTCTTCTTCAATGTATTAACCCCCAAACCCACACGTTCATCGAATTTCCATATTTGTGCTTTTCAGTCATTTGAACGCCTCCCCCCGTGAAATATATAGTACGCTTTCTCTTCCGCATTTGGAAAATTCTCATTCTGGACCAATCTCGGTCATTCACCACACACAGCTGTCCAAAAACTCTATTACTTGACACAACATATCCAATTCCCTAAGATTTTAAGCTGCCGTGTCACGGAACTTTCACATGAAATCTTGAAAATAGCGTCCAACTACAACCGCTTCATTCTTTGATCTCCAGCTCGTCTGTCTGTCTGTCCTGGGCAACGTCAGTCGATGAACTGTCTTCACCGAAACATCTGTTCCATTCATCTCATTTCTACCAACTCCAGTTTCCCTCTCATAACAATCAACTTTTTGGGTGAAAAAAAACAACCACTAGCTCCATGTAGTTCTAAATACCGTCAGTTTGCATTTTAAGATCTCGCTAATTTTGTAGCACGTATAACCTGTTTTCATAACTTCGATGTGCATCGTGCATGGACGTAGCCACACACCAACACACAGGCACATCTTATATTTGGTCAGTCAATGGTAAGTCACTGTGATCTGATCTATTCCAAGCCACCTACACAGATGCACGTTTGCTTGTGTGCATGCGCGCACGAACGCACGCAGGCAGCTGCGCGCGCGCACACACACAAACACACTCACGTTTTTCGCCTTTTCGTTTCGTTTGATCACGCTCAATCGGATCGATCGATCGATTGTAGACTGCTGCTTTTGTGAATGTGGTGAGCCAAACGTTGCTTTTTTTCGGAGGCAGATACTAACAGAGAGAAATATGAAAAGATAACCATTTCCCTGTATAAAATTTTCTGGGTAGTCTGTGTATCTTTTGCGACATTACAGAACACGTTGCCATACACTCTCTGCGCTTAATCGCGAGATGCATTTTGTGTATTGGGACTGATCTTAATATTCGCTTGTCCTAATATGATATCGTCACAAAGACGAAAAGCGTATAATCAAGAGCAAGTTGCATAGACTTGAATGTTCTTACTCTATTGGGTGTGGTTGCTGATGCTCAGGATACGGTACAAGGATGATGTGGGGGCATAAACAAAAATGACTGAACTGTTCGTGTGCCTGCACACTTGGTGATGTAACACACCCTAAGGTGTTTTATTCTACAAAAAATTGTGATGGCCTCTAGATGAATCTCATATTCGTTCATTAAATCTTATTGAATAATATAGATTTCTCATATACTGCTTTTCAAAACCGTTTTGTTAGGATCGTGTCTTTTTCTAATCAACTGCATTGAGCTTCTCAATTTGTGTGTGAGAGCCGGGGAGTAGCGCACAATACGGAATCGATGGAAAATTCGGTTATTGGCTAATTCAGACTGATTAATCAGGAGCAGACAAATCAATAAACCAATTGGATTTGAGCCTTAACAGGCTGATTGGTTGGAACGTGGTTACTAGTTGGCTCAGTTATCGTCCAGTCAGATGCGTCTAGCCGATCTTGTGATGTGCCCGTCCGTCGTTCGTAGTGCGCACATGCTTAAGTTGGCCGTTCGAACGCTGCGCTTAATTTGGCTTTCACAAGATTTTCCGATAGTGGTCACATATTGCCTATTATTCGGTAATGGAAGACACGTGCCTTGTGAACAATAATCTATATCTCTCTGATCGTTTATTTTTCTATTTCCATTTTGTTTAGATTGTGACGAATCTGGCTGATATTTTGTTGGGCGAGTCCGGATACGGTGCGTCATCCACCCACAGTTTGAACGAACTGCATCGTTCGGAATCTCTCCGGTTACAAAAATCTTACCTGACGGGCGAAACGCCCGATCCACGACTGGGCTCATTCGCCGATCGTCCGCTTAGTGCTGATGTGGAACTATTGCTCAAAGAGCTCGGGCAACCAACTGACGATCTGTCACGCACACNCACAGTTTCTCCGAATTGCTCAATCCTCCCACTGTGCCACCCCCAGTTGATCAGATGACTCAATCCCAATATGCGATGGGAGGCACCGATTCTCTGGGCAATCGAACCCGCCTGGGCGCTATCAGTTCGGCGCGAACGAAACGCGTTGAGAAGCGCACCGGGGCCAAGACATTGCGAGCAGCTGTACAACCACCGACCCCGGATGTGCTTGTATCGTTGTTCGAAATGGTCAACAAACTAATGATCCCTTACGTAAGTTCCATCAACCAATTGTAATGCGTACCACCGTGTTGTTATTGCTTTGAGCGGCTGGTTTTCAGTCCACCATTGCAGTACGCTCCCTTCTCACCCCCCCCGCTCTGTGACGTTCATTTCGGTCTTCGTACTCGTATGGTTCGGCCTCTGTACCAACGGATAGTGTCATTTCGTTTATTTGGTTTTATAGAATGTTGAGTGAAATGGTTAGTTTCTGTAATTATTTGGGTAGAAGAAAGCATCATCATTTAACACGTTTGCATCTCTAAACAAACGTCCTTAAAAACGTTACAGCCAGGTTTGTGGGCATTCAGTTATAACATTTATCCTGATTAGTTGTCTGGTCTTTTGAGCCAAAAATAAACTGGAATTCAATCGTGACGATATTGTATCCTACACGGTTCAGCTGCGTGCTCCTCTTTGCCATAGTCACTGCCCCCCTCCCTCCGGCGACTGATAGGTTGTGCCCCTACCAACTACTTTTCACCTATCTACTTCTCACAGCAAATACCCTATATGTATGTATAATTTGTCTATTCAAAAGAACAGATAACCGTGGAACTACGTTCCGAATGCGCACTATTTCTTATTCGAGCGTTGAAAATGAGCGTTTTGTTTTAAAACATCGGTCATTATGGTTAAGATCAGTGAGGGCTCAAACCTCGCTTGAAAGTGATGACGCCGCCCACACAAACGGAATGTTAGTAATTGTTTTCCTTGTCCTAACCCCTATTTCAAGGGTGTGTGTACTATACTGTCTGTGAGACTTGGGTGACAAAGCCATGCTGATTGTTCTAATTTGTCAACCTCCTGAATAAACGTGTTGTCCCCAGATTACAGATCCATTTCAAGGGAAACACATTAAAACGGTCTCACTGTACAGCCATGTTGATGTGCAGTTAAATCTGCCAATTTATATGTTCCATCATCCACCCCACCGCCCTCGGTGGGTTCGTGGGGTCTAACTCGAACTGCTCCAATTTTGTGTGTGTATGTCTGTGTATGGTGCCCGGCTCTCAATCATTCATAGCCCATGACCTCCCCATGTTTGTCTTTCGGTCGGCTTGCACTCATGCTAGTAATCGTGTCCATTCGTGTGTGTTAGCTTTTATACATGAAGTGTACGGGCACAGAAGCTCATTTTAGTTCGTTAAAATCGTAAACTGATTGATGCGGCCACCTTATGCCCTTCCCTTCGTCTTCAACAATTGTTCTTGTCGATTCTGAGCATTCAAAATCCACCAGATGAGTTTTCTAACGTGAAACTCTGTTTCATGTCGATGTATACTCATCATACCGTACGATTGTTTCAGATCTGTACTGACATTCCTCCCATGATAATCAATTCTCAGTGACCGTGGATGTATCGATTCCTTCTCTCTAATGTGTCATTTATTAACATGAATGTGGTCACTCCACCGGTTAAACATGGTACCTCGTGAAGCCACCGTCTTGTCACATGGCTCCGAAACACGTAAATCTCATCTCATCTCTAGACCCGCCTAGGCTGTAGTACAATTGGCTACATTCTTATTTCATTCACTCTCTCCGTTATTTGTGCTGATCAAATCAACATTTATCTAGGTAAAATAAGGTGAGTCATTTGCACACGGTTTTGCAAATTGATCAATTTGTGTTTCGCTTCTGCTATTCCTGAATGCGAGTGCGATTGTAATCGTTTGCGCGTGTGTATTCATACTTATATATATGCGTGTAACTGTTCATCTCCTCCAACGTCACATTTGCTCTAACCCATGACTCGCTAATTTGGTTTGGGCGCGCAGCAAGTTGCGTATCTGCAAGCGCAAAAAGAATGTGTGTGTGTGTGTGTGCGTGTCTGTGTGTGTGCGAGTGTTTGACTGAGCAAGCGAACGAGCGAGGATAAGGCAAACGTTTGAATTCGGTTACAAAGAATTTCTACTACGTGCGTGCGTGCGTTCGTGCGCGCACACGACTAACTTCGTAACTCTCATCGGTCGGTTCTTTTCTATCGTGTATATTTCCTAATTCATTCATCATCCAAAGCGGAATCTCATCAGGTTCTAACACTATGGTGATTTCGAATGAGGCACGTTTGTGTGCCTCTCTCAGCGTTGTCATAGTAAAGTTCATCTGGGTCGCTTTTGTTGTGATAATACATGTCATATGCGGTGGTGCTGTGCCAGTTGTGTATCACACCTCCCTCTACTAGGCGTTTTCTCACACACCCAAACACCCCACAAAAACACGAGCGTCTCAGTTCAATGTGTTTGTGTGTGCAGACACTCACACGGTCGAATGTCGATCTTACACAACGACGAGTAGTTTCGTATCGCACTGGTGAGCGTCAGATAGACCGAATTTAGCTAGCCGGTTGGTTGTTTTTACTGGTCCCACGGGTTTCGCTGTCATAGTTTATGTTTTACAATAAGCGGTATATGATTAACTGGATAAAATTTCCCTGATTTCGCGGTTCTTTCCGCTCGTCGGTCATGCGTATCTGGTGGTCTTTTGTCTTTTCATTCATTTATTCATATATATATATATATATATATATATATATATATTACTGGCTTGCAGGCAAGCATGAAGCCAATGCCACCACAACAATGAACAGGGGATGTGATACAGA